AAATAACTCTATCATTATTAAGATGGACTTTTTTTTATGTAGTAATACTTCCTGCCTGATTAAATGTGGTGGGATGGGGCATCAGAAGAAGTCATTAAAGGCTTAATATTGATTTTTCACACTTAAATGTAATATAAATCAAGTATATCCTCTGAAAATAACTCTGTGAGTCATGACTGTCTACAATGGGTGTAACACCCGAGTCCCACTGTCTGTGATGTTTTCAGAGTTTTCAGAGTCCTATCTTCACTTTGTTTACATCGCCGGACGGCCGGCTGACTCCTCCCCTCTTGTATAAAAGTTGTTTAATTGAGGACTAGAGAAAAGAAGAATAACATACTGTACTCACTGCTTAACTGTGTTTCTAGATCACGCTCATTTCAGGTAAATTTACATGCAGTGTGAAGATACCAGCATAATAAAGATCACTAGCATTAGCATGCTAACACAACAATGCAGCGCGAGTTGTTTTGGTTTCATGCTGGTGCTCAAGTGCGACATCTGCTGGATCAAAAAATCACATAAAGCCTTTAAGAGCACACAGCCAATCAGACGTCTCTTACATTTTCTGCAGCAAAGATTCACAGTGAGTGATGTATTTATGTACTTAAAGACAGCAGGATGAGATGTTTTGATCAGTAAACACTACTTACACATGTTTGGGATGAAAACAGAAAAGCCTGAAGGGGGATGCTTTGTCCACAGGGGGGCGCCAAAACTGACTCAAACCAAAAATGACTCACAGGATCTTTAAAATAAAACATGAAAGTACAACTTTACCTTCCATGTTTCTTGTTGATTTGATGATTTTTTCCCTTGTTAACCACCTCTCTGTATTTACTTTCATTTTAAAGCTTCTAAAGCTAACACATATTAATTCCACCACAGTCACATTTCTTGCTTACGGGAACTCCTTATAAGGAATGAGGAGAATATAACATATTATATGGAGTCTGATATGATCAGCCTGTCATGTATGTGTTTCAATTTTGTCAAATAAATCTATGTAACAGAAGTCATGATTTGAACACTCGGCATGCTGTTCCTGTCTGACAAGGTGCTGACCGAAGGGGGGCGCGTTCTTCTGGAAAACGGTGGAAGTTTCCGGAGTTTCATCAGCAAAGCCGCGAACGACGCCCGGAAGATGGTGGAGCTCATTGTGGAGAAGATCCCGTCCTACAGGGACGAGGCCACGTATGAGGTTTGAGTGAGAGAAGGTCGAACACTACACCGGAATTTACTTTTATATCAAATTACTTAGTTAATGGGTTTTTTGTTTGGCTAGGACAGCTGAAGAGAGACAGGACAATGGAGGAGTGGGGGGGGGTGAAACGCAGCAAAGGGCCGAGGTCGGATTCAGACCCACAGCCGCTGCAATAATTACTATAGCCTCTGTATGTTGGACATAACCGCTAGGCTATCGGCACTCTCTTTTTCAGACAATTTCTGTCGAGAAACCTAAAGAAAAGTCGTTGTATTTTTTATATTCTTCCCTCACATAAAGTTTAAGCATTTGTGATTTTAAATAGTTTGTTAAAAAACAAGAAACATCCTGGTTCACTGTTTGAATTTAAGAGAAGGCCGATGATTTGTAAAATCCTTAATGCGCCTCATAAAGCTCATGAAGTTAAGTTAGTGTCTCTTGCAGAGTGACAGACGGACAGAGAGCAAAGTCAGGAGACGGACATGATACCTAATCTTTTTCCATTTTCTGTCAGTCCCAACTGTGGACAGGCGGCTTCACACCACCCCCCCCCCATAAAACGTCCAAAATATTCATATAAATATCAAATTAGAAAATACACAGAGAGAAGAATCTCTGCAGACACTGACACACACTTCTTCTGGATTCTTTTTTATACATCATATTTATCATGCTTTTCATTGTTATTAGGATGTGTTCAGAGACTGTCCACTGCAGGATGGGATTAAAAAAAGAAAAGAAATGACCTTATTTTGGTTACCAGGAGGTGTCTAGTTGTTGCAGTGGTATCCAAACAGGTTTCAATATTATTGGATTTCTAATGGTAATAATCAAAATGTTTCCTTTTGAAAACTAATTTACAAAAAAGATGAAGAAGGAGCTTCTGATCGAGTCATTTTTAATCTTCTTTTTGTTTTTACTTGCACTTTTCAGACAACGATGTATCACAAAGTGCTTTTACATAAATCTAAATAAATCAAACAGAAACAACATGACTCCCTCCACGACTCCTTACCCTACAATCCAAAAACGAAGGTGAAATAAGGAGATAAAAACAGGTACTGACGGACTGAGGGAAACGCGATCGTTAATTCTTAATGAGGAAACACAGGAGCTTAAAAATGTTATAAAACGAGATAAAACGAGATTCAGTTAAAAGCTAGACTAAAAAATATCCAAAAAATTGAAACATCTAAAAACTATTTAGGAAGTGTACATGGAAGTGAAGTGGTAGTGTGATAGCTCCATCTGCTGGACAAACACAGTGTGGCAGGATGCTAATGAGCTCTTTATGATACAGGTTAGGAGAAAGTGATCCTCCTTACACATGCACTGTGGCCTTCATGTTATCTTTGTAAACTAGGGATATAAAGGTAGTGGGTGAGGAACAAGGTAAGGCAGGAACATTTTGATATCACACATTTTAGTAACGAGGCAATTCATAAGACTTCATGACAAAGGGAAAATAAACTAAAAGTCAAGTAAACAAGCCAATAAAATCAAATGAATGAACTGTCAGAGTAAGAGCAGTGTGTGTGTTTCAGGGGAGGAGAATCTCCTTCTACAAGCGGGCTCAGATCCTGGTGGCAGATTTCTGGGGCGTCATGGCGGCCCGAGGAGAGGGAGACATCGTCAGCATGGACTGGCTCACCATGTTTGCAGACTACAGGGTCCCTCAGGCTCTCGTCCACCTCGGAGCTCTGCGATACTCTGATGCACTGCTGCAGACGCTGAAGAATGGTGAGACAGGAGAGTGTGTGTGTGTGCTCGTGTTTCTCTGATCATAAAGAACTGTATCAGGTAAAGAAAAGAGTACTGTACTGTTTTTTTTTCCCTCAGGGGAGCTGCTGAGTTCAGGGGACAGGAGAGAGGTGGAGATCCGAGGTTGTTCGATCTGGTCCGTGGAGCTGATCAGAGCGCGTCTGTGTAAGCTGATGCAGGAGAGAGACGGACAGACCTGCAGCGTCAACTCAGCGATCATTGACTTTTACCTTTGGCCGTACGCCAAGCAGCACCACAAAGAGATGGCCCACATTCCCATCCACCACACACGCTGTGTTTACTACTGAAGAGCGGGCTGGCAGCAGCTCTTGCAGTAGGAGGCACTTCTCAGTGTGCGCCGCCTCTCTCGGGGATAAAACCAAGCATGCCTCCGTGCCAGATTTATTTTTTAAATGAGCTTTAATTAAAAAAGGTGTTGAGCATTCATGTCGCTCGATGGTTTGCCTTTTGAAGTCAATTAAAATGTTTCCAGTTCAGCTGGAGCACAAATGATTGTTCACTGTATCTGATCAAAACAATGACAGACAAGTTGAGCCTTACAGAGGAAACGTGATCTTCTGAACTGTGATTTATTAATGCTGAAAATAAACTATTTTTTGTAAGATTCTTCTTTTGTTGTAAAGTATTGATGCTGTAGATTGATTTCTTCAGATCAAATTTTGCATCTTCATTCTCTACACCTAAGAAAAATGTCTGCAGGTCAACTCCAAAGTCTTATAAGATGAAAAGAAATGTGTAATTAAATAAAACAACTATAACCTAAATTTAAAAATAATAATAAAGGGGTTTAAATGGAATAGAAGTGTTCAATAATTAGAAGGAAGAAGATGGTATTAATGCTAGAATAACTGAGATGTTTTCATTTTTAATGTTTGAATAAACAAATTAAAACTAATAATCACCTTCATACATAAAGGATGTACAAAATAAACAATTATTTGACAATTAAATTGGCGTTTTTCTTTTAACATAAGAAGAGATGAGTCTGAATCAATACAGAAATGTAATGTGTATTATTTAATGGAACAATAAAACATCAAAAATCAATCATGTATGATTCAAAGTAAAATGAACATGGCATAAAATGTAAGATGTAATGTGTATAATAAGAACATAGTACAACCGTGTAGTATAGAGTATATCATGGTAAATATAAAAATAAACTAACCTAATCTTGTTTTAATAAAACTGACCTGCAATAAAAGCGTCCTTCATAAAGGTTACAATTTTCATTTTGGGAGTAAAAGCTGCTGTTGAACTGTATTACATTATGCAGAGGGCGGTTTCTTTCTGCTCCTTCAGTGATATAAACCAGGTGGATGAAAAAATAACAACTGAGAATAAGGCAACACCACACGCTACAGCCTCCAACATGATCCTAGTTTTCACCTCTATTACTGAATTTAAGAGAAACACAGTAAAACTTATTAAGAACAGTGGTGTTACACTGCCTTGGTTTAGTGTTCTTTAAGTGAAAACAAACGTAATCACATATATAACATACATTTGTTGGTCATTCTGAGTAATATATAGAATAGAATAGAATTACTTTATTGATCCCAAACTGGGAAATTGTGGCGTTACAGCAGCAGGTTGTCCAAACACACAATATTAGCGAAAAAAACACAATATTAGCAAATCTAAACACAATATAATATTAAATACAAAGTAAATAAGCACTAAAAATATAAAAAAACTAAGAATGTGAATATATACAATAAGGATTTAACTTAGCAATGTCCATATATTTGGTGTAAAATGTTTATATTTTTAAGTTATTTCATCTATATTTTATTTTTAACATATATTCATCGTATATTATCTCGGGTATGTGTTTAAGTTTAAGTTTTCACACAGGTGTAATTTAAAAAAGAAGCAGCAGCCGAATCACTAGAGGACGCTGTTGCCTTCACGTGACACTCGATCCGCTCTCAGAGAACACTCTTGAAACGCCTCGTGCTTTTTTCGACGGTTACCCGGGAAACCGTTGCATGACAACAAACGGGAGCTGGCAACAAGTGGCAACAACGACAACGACGGCTTAAAGTAATAGAAAATGTTTTGAACGGTTCGTTTTTGGTATCCTGTTTATGTTTGTTTGTATTAGACAAAGTTAAAAACAAATTATTTATCCACAATTCAGCTGTGAGATGCGGAGAGTAAACGTACATTAAGCGATAAGTTACTTACCGTCATGGGCGAGGAGTTCTTCAAGGTGGCGCTCCGGATCCGGCCCCTGCTTCATAAAGAAGTCCTCCACAGGCACCAGGTGTGTGTGCGGGAGGTGCCGGGCTCCCCACAGGTGATGCTCTTCCAAGGCAACAAAGTCGACCCAGGAAACATCTTCCACTTCGACTATGCTTTCGGACCAGCAGCCAGCCAGGATGAGGTGTACGACACCTGCGTCCATCCGCTGATGGAGAACCTGCTGGACGGTTACAATGCCACCGTCTTCTGCTACGGACCGACCGGCTCAGGGAAGACGTACACACTGGGAGGGATGAAGCTGGGTATGTTGTACAGGCTGCACACCATTACACATCTGGTGGAAATGATAGATGGGGCTGGGAAATATATCGAGTTTTTAAGATATATCGATGTATTTTCAAACAAGATATCGGGTAAGACAATATCGATATAGTTTATGTTGCATTAAAATAACGTTACAGAGGTGCCAGGTCACCTTTTTTCTCATCTCACTGATGATGACTGACTGTCTGTCCCTCTTAACTCTGCTCCTCCTCTCTCTCTCTTTATTGTATTTAAGGAACATGTAGTGACCATTTTTAACAAACCCAATATTGTTTAGAAAAGTCACTTGAGGTGCTTAGCTCGAAGAAATCAACACAATCCATTGATGTTGTGATTTGGATATTTCAATCCATTTCTTTTTAAACACTTCTTATCAAATAAAGGAAAATATGACGAACCACTACGTCTATAAATAAAACAAACAAATCCGCATTGGATGCGTTTAACTCCGACAGGCTGACAAGGTAAAAAAAACTGTTTGCCTCCATTCAGTCACCTGTCCCACCTCACCTGGAGGCTTGATTTAACCACAGCATCCGCCCAGGCTACACACAGTGCCCAGTAGAGGGCCAACACACACAGCCACAAGGAAAATAGCATCACACAAAACAAACACCTCATTTGGCTCCAACAGAACATTTGTATTTTATAATATTACTTTTTAAATTCACAACAGATAGTTTATTTTTCCATGTGTTTTCACTGTTAATAAAATACATATCGATATATCGAGTATCGGCATTCAGCTAAACAATATCGAGATATGAGTTTTGGTCCGTATCGCCCAGCCCTAGATGGGAGCATTGTTTTTTAAATAAGGTTCAGGACTATATAGTATCATAAATTAGAGCATGTTGTTGACTATATGTTTAAAGCGCCTGTGAGCTGTTCAACTGCTTTTTATTGCTAATATCTAATCAGCCTATCACATGGCAGCACCTTAATGGAAAAATTCAGTTTACTGTCGAGGACACCGTTTACTTACAGCTCGCGTGAGAAATGCTACAATAAGTTAATACTTAATATTCCTGTTTTGTCTTTACCCAAGGATGAAGGTTTCTCACAAATAACTAAATATCAAAGATACTCAGACTTGAAGTTTCCTTGACATTACTGTTGTATGACAAACTGTATGACAAAATGTATTTGATATTTGACTGCGCCTGTATCTGCAATCCTTATATATAATAGGCATGAAGGTTTCCCCCAGGGGTTACTTCTCCCCAGGGGTTACTTCTCCAAGTAACCCCAAGCATATTGTGATTACTTGGAGCTTTCCTTCAGACTGTATTGACACTCTGAAGATTTGTTCCTTCTACTTGCAAGAAGAATTAAACTAAACAAAGACATGGATTGACTCATGATCCTTGCTTTTGCATTGTTAACAGAAATGTCCAGCACAAACTCAATGCATTTAGGCATGTAGACATGATCAGGACGATCTGCTGAAGTTCAAACTGAGCATCAGAATGGGAAAGAAAAGTTGATTTAAGTGACTTTGAACGTTGCATGGTTGTTGATGCCAGACGGGGCTGGTCTGAGTATTTCAGCAACTGCTAATCTACTCGGATTTTCATGCACAACCATCTCAAAGGTTTACAGAGAATTGACCAAAAAATGAGAAAATATCAAGTGAGCAGTTGTCTCTGGGCGAAAATGCCTTGTTGATGCCAGAGGTCAGAGGTCAGAGGAGAATGGCCGGACTGATTCGAGCTGATAGTAAAGACAGAAGAAACTTGTTTAACCACAGGTTAAAATCTCCAAACGGCCTGTTTGAGCACGCATTTTCTAAAAAGTGGAGCATGCTAAAGACAGAGAGGATGGACTTTTATCATAACTGGGGGGTTTGAAGATTTTTCACCTTTTGGTCATTGCGAACCTGCTTATTAACTATCAGTCTCTACCTTCCAAAACCTCTCTTAGGTGAAAAGGAAGGAATCATTGAACGCGTGGCGAAGAATGTGTTCTGGTTGCTGGAGCAGAAGAGGACGAGCAGTGAGGGTTTGAGGGCAACAGTGCGAATCTCTTACATGGAGCTGTATAAGGAGGGACTGCGAGACCTGCTGGAGATGGACAACAATCAGAAAGTGCTACAAATCAGAGACGATGACAAAGGAAACACAGGTTATTTGAAATTATGCAAATGTCAATCATATTTGATTTTTCACATAGACTGAATTTGATTTGTATTGGCTTATGTGATTTCCCCCAAAAAAGCCATTTGTTTTGCCATATAATTCTTTCATCCGATGTGCTTGGCATCTGTCTTTATATACTTTCTGCAGCTCTGTGTTCACACTGGCTGTTTTAAGGAAAGTGTTCCGCCCTCATTAAAGGCCACATATGGTGCAAGAAAGCTCGAGCCACATCCCCTTCTAGAGGGGCGTGGTCGCACAGAGCTCATTTACATTTAAAGGTACAGACACAGAAACAGCCTGTTCTGAGCGGGGCTGAAATAGAGGGGTTCATAGGCATGATCAAAAACAGGATTAGAGTGGATTTTTAATTTGAAACTTTACAGACATATTTTAGGGAGCCCTGAGACTTATTTAAACTTGTTGAAAATTAGAATAATATGTGACCTTTAAGCATTTGTACATTTGCATCCACAATATTGGCGTCCCAGTGTGTGATTTTGATTTTGCTTTCAGTTGTGGTTGGAGCCAAAGAGATGGACGTCACCTCAGCAGAGGAGATCCTTAGTTATCTAGAGATGGGCAATGCCCAGCGCCACACTGCCAGAACAAAGATGAACGATCACTCCAGTCGTTCTCATGCCATGCTCACCCTCCAGCTCTTCCAGTCTTGCCCCGACAAGAAGTATGTGTGCCACTCCAAGCTGTGTATGGTTGACCTTGCGGGCTCGGAGTGCGCTGCTAAAACTGGAAACACTGGGAACAAATTCCAAGAGTCTGTTCATATCAACACAGGCCTGCTTGCACTGGGCAGCGTCATCCGTGCCCTCTGTGACCCAAGGCGTAATCGCGGTGATTTCTACATACCATATCGTGCTGCCAAGATCACTCGTCTCCTACGAGATTCATTGGGAGGCACCGCGCATACTGTAATGATCGCATGTGTATGCCCCTCCAAATGCAGTGTACTTGAGACCTGCCGCGTCCTGAATTTTGCATCAAAGGCCGTTCATAATGTTCGTAATACATGTACACATACAAAGATGAAATTAAAATTACCTAAGACCTGGAATCATTATGAGGCTAAACTGGCCGATGTTAAGTTTGAAGATGAAACTCTGAGAGCGCTGCTGAAAGACAAAGATATGGAGATTGAAAGGTTGAAGAAAGCTGGAGAGGGTAACAGCTTCACACAGCCCGGCCAGGTGAAGATGTCTGATGCAGAATTGAAGTTGAGCCGAGAGGAAACACCACAGTACCGCCTCCTGGCTCAGGAAGCTGCAGCGCTGCTTGCGGAGATTTCTGGTCCCACCCTTAGTCATTCTTTCAGGCAGAGACAGCGGGAATGGAAGGACAGACTGACAGCTGTCAATCATTCATATCAAACTGAGGACAAGGACTGTTTAGAGAAAGGCGATGTCAAATCTCAACATGTTATCATAGAAAAGCTCAGAGAGGAACTCTGCAAATGCAAGGTATGAGGACAACTGATCGTTATTAAAGGTGATATTATTTTTCCAACAGTTAATGCGATCTGGCTCACTATCTTAAGAATTGGACAGAAAAAATAGATCAAATTCAAAACCTATGTAGCTGCTTTAGGTAAGCTGCTGTTAAGAGTCTTTATTGTCCATTAGGATCAAATTACACTTTGGCTGTAAATTTTGAAGGGAAATTGTGATGTTACGCACTGTGTTCAATTAAATGTTCTAGAAAAAAAAGATGCACCAAAGAGTTTAGATATTTTTTTAACAGCAGATTGTGACCTTTTTAATTAATCATTGTCTTTAGAAAAGTCTCAGTAACTGAACAGGAGAGTCAAAACCTCCCTGTCTTTTTTTTTTTTTTAAATATATGTTTTTTGGGCTACAGGGCCCGACCAATTTTTTATTTTTTGGGCCGATACTGATATGTTTTTTGAGAGATAGTACAGTGCTTAGAGTCCGAAATCAGTCAGAGTTAATAGATTTTTCATGTTTTCCGCTTTTTTCCTTTTATTGAAGTCAAGAAAAGTGTCCGCTGTGATGTTCATTATCATCTAAACTGAGATCATGCACACTTCATCTAGTTAGTAACATGGACTAAAACAGCTACTGTGATAAAGCAGATAATAGGCACATGTTTGCTGCTGAGCTTATCATAGGATTTCTCCCTGTCAGGTTTAAAAAAAATCCACTCTTTCTCTCTGTCTTTCAGGAAGTTCTCGCCCTACACAAACAGCTGTTGGAGAAGAGAGATGCAGATCTGAGACGGTTTCAAAAAGAAGTAGAGAGACTTCTTCAAGAGAACAAAGCTCACATTCAGGCCTTGGAGGAGCAAAGTGAACGCACTCGAATACAGGTGAGAAGAACAGTCCTGTTTTCCAGCTCTGACATACAGTTGAAAAAGGGTCCAGACAGCTACATCACTTTATTATTTATTTATTATCTGCAAATCAGATTTTAAAACTTTTCCTCCAACTTTATTCAACTGGCCTCACCCCAGCGCAGCCTATAAATACAATACGTACACCATGTGATCAAACTGTACAGCATCAACACAAAGAACAATACAAATGTAGTTAAGGTTAACATCCTGCCTCTTCCTTTTGCCTCAATTCGGCGTGCACTGTCGCCTCAAACGTCCAGCTCCAAGTGTCCCGCAAGCCTGATTGCCTTAAGTAAGCTTGACGCTTCCTTATGACGGCGCCAGCAATGCATGTAGATCCAGTATCACCTGTGCCCACCCACGCCGGACTACTCTGCACCCGTGCCTTACTCTTTAATAAAATCTATTGAAACATTAGAATGTGCCTTTGAGTGCGTGTGCGTCTGTGCGTTAATGTCTTCAGACTGAACAGCTCGTGGAGCAGCACATTCTGATCAATCGGCTCCGCAGCGACCTGATGGCCGTCAGGAGTGCAACATCAGGGGTAAGGGGTGACTCAGGGGCCTCCTGGAACTCAGGCAGGAGACCTCAAAGTGTCCCTCTGACCAGACACAGCTGTGGACACGGGCCCCGCAGACGGGTAGGTTCACCGAACTGTTTAGTGTGTGTTTTGAGTTGATTGTTCTTCGTTCATGGCGCCGCAGGTTTCTGTCCTGACACACGTGCGTTTGTAGATTCACTCCAGCCCTCCAGCTTATTCACTGGAGAGGGTGATGGCAGCCTTCAAGATGCGAGGTCATCTCCTGCTGACTGAGATTGAAGAGAAGGATGAGGTGTACTGTCCGTTCATAAAACAACCGGCAGAGAGCAAAGGCATGGATCAAGAAAAGCAGCAGGAGGAGGAGGAGGAGGAGGAGGAGGAGGACGACATGTTGGTGGGCAGAATGGGACTCAGGTGAGAGCCAAAATGAAATGTCAGCAAATGGACTTTGAGTCTTTACGTTCTCTGTTAACATGTTTAATTATTAAACTGTGCCAAAGAAATACAAACAGATAAGAATACTAAAAGGAGCTTGAACCCGTTTGTCTAATTTTTCATATTAAAATGAGCTGCTGTATGATATTGTGACTTTATTCCAGGCGTTCCTTAAACCGAACATGGACCAGCAGGCAGAAGAGATCCGCTCTGGAAGAGAAAAAAACTGCACCAAACCAAACATCCAGTAGAAATCCATCAGTGCAACCGTCTCAGGGAGCCGCAGGTACACTTTCCATGTTCTTCACTTTATTGGTGTTTTCAAACATTCATGGAACTGCCCATGTGTGAATGAATCCGGTAATATTCAAGAAAAATGTACAGCTAGCAAGCAGACCGAGTACATGACTATTGTCAGGAGTGCTTGTGTTTTTTTTTGTGTTTATGGTCAAAGCTCTCTAATAAGTGTAATAAGATTTAAATATCCACCAAGCTGTTTCCCTCTCATTGATATTTTCTGCTCAGGAAAAGACGAAGAGAACACGAAGCAAAGACAGACGAGGAAGGCGAGACTCAGAGCCAGCGTTACTCAGAGAAGGATCCAGGATCTGACTGTCAACATGCGCATGAAAGAGGAGCTCATCAAAGAGCTAAACAAAACCGGTGTGATTTTATAATTACATACTTTTACTCATGTGGTCCTGTGTCTGTCTGTTTTTGGTTTTACTCAATCTAATATACCGAGTCAGTGAGAAGGATTCTTATCTCTTATTCTCATCAGAAAACAATGTGAGGAGTTTTTATGAGTCAAGGTTGGTTGAAACATTTCTGACATGCTGCCAGCAGCTTTCTGCAGAAATTTTGGATTCTGAGTGACAAAAACGGTTACAGTTACAGAAAGACAGAAATTGTTGTGGCGCACATGATCCGCCTTAAGTGGTAATCTCATGGTGCGTGCTTGCAATTGTGAAAAGTGAAAAGTGAAAAACAAGGATTCACGCTATGTTGGTTGCAGAGGACTTCTGTTTTTGTTGCCATGGTATCAAAACAGATATTGTTTGATTCTAACTGGAATCTAATCTAAGTTTTTGTTCTGATTGTTGTGACAACCCCTAATGTCTCTCAGTGATTCTAGAGTCTGATTGCAAAAACTGATTGGGGGCCCCTCCAACCGGTGTTATATCTACCCGTGTCCCGACGCTCTTCCTCTTTTAGGTTTTCACTCCCATACAGATGATTCCTCTTCATCTTCCTTCAGTGACTTTCATTGACCAACTTTGGTTATCACAGGAGTAATACATGAGATGCTCAGCAGAGCGATGAGACTGACTGCTGCCAGATGGGGCCCCAATTAGGGAGGTTTCCTACTGTCGTTGCAAAATTTGCACATTTTGAGTTTCAAATTTTGAGTAATCCCTGCTTCTCTATATGTGTGGTTTTGTGTGACAGACAAGGAGACCCAAGCAGTGGACAGGCACGTCAGGCACAGCAGTGATGACTCGGACGTGTGGATGAGACTCTCCATGCAGAGACAGAAGGTCCAGGCAGAGACGTACCACAGCCTGCAGCACATGAGACTGCAGAGAGCACAGCTTCAGAGCAGCCTCGGAGAACTCGGCCAGAGTGAGGTTAGTTGTACAAAATACAATTGTCAAAAAGAATGGCTGGATTGTGCAACTGAGAAGACACAAACATATAAAACTGTTGTTTGGACTTCTGTAAGCAAACTTGTGTGTCAGATATGTGGATTCCAAATTTTACTGTTTTTTTTTTTGGTTGCAAGTGAGCAGACTCCTGAAAAGAAGAAGAGACATCTTTCATCAGCAGCCAGTAAAACATACAAACTTATCAGAAGCAATAATGCATTCACATCCTGTCAAAGGATTGCTAGAAAATAACTTTTTTATGTTTCTACTTAGATGTGACATTTTTGCCTGTAAGGTCTTAAATCTACCTATTTTGTTTAAAATGAGAGTTAAAATGAACATTTTGAATATCGCCTTGCTTTCAGTTTGAGGTGTTGGGAAACAAACGTCAACAGTGTCTCTGATTCCCAGCACTGGTAAAACATAAATGAATCTTTTTGGTAAACATGATCTGTCTTTTTTATAGGAGCAAAGTGCAGAAGATGTCACTGTGTGCAAGAACAATCACCTGGACGGGTTCGAGAAAAAGGTCAAATGCTCAATATAAAAGCCTTTACCTCTGTGAAATAAATATTTCTAAAGTGTGTCTTTTCCCTTTACCCTTTCCTCCTCTTTGTCACTTTCTTCTCGTCTTAATTTTTCTCTGTTCTCCCTCTTTTAACCCTTCCCCTTCTCTGCTCATTATTCCCCTCCTCACACCCCTCTCTTGTCCTTACTGTAGGTTCATGGCAGTAGTTGGCTGGAGGAAGAGGAGGAGTGGGTCCTTCAGAAAAGAGCAGAGCTGCAGGAGCTGGAGGAGGAGCTGAAGAGGAGAGAGGAGGTGCTGCTGCGCAGGGATACCTGTCTGCAAGAGAAAAACAAACTGGAGATTAAGAAGCTACGCTCCAGTCAGGTCAGCCGGTACATCTGAGAAGTTATATTTTAATTTAAAGACCACTTTAATCGATGCAGATTCTGGATAAGGGGAACATGTATAACTGAAGCTGGAATCTGTAAGGTTTTTATCAATGACTCTTCAGGCTCTGAATCAGGACCTGCTGCATGTGTCGATGCAGCTGGAGTCTCTGGAGGAGGAGATGAGGAGGAGCAGTGTGAGGCAGAATGGAGGAGTCACCAGAGAGGAACTGGAGAAAGAAAGAGAAACACTTAGAAAGAGGAGAGACACCCTGGGCGACCAGCTGAAGGACAACATAGTGCTCACTGTGGAGGTCAGAAAAAAGGGACCTCTGTGTGTATGATGCATAGGATCATACTTACTGTTATCTGTGATGCACTGTGTCTTTGCTCTGATCTGCGCACGTCTTCACGTAGGAGGAGCATTCCCTGCTGGAGCTGGAGGAAGACATTGAAGCTCTGGACGCAGCGCTGGAGTTTGAAAACCACTCCATCCAGGACAAACAGGAGAAGCTGTCAGTCACAGACTCCTCTGCACATCAGTCACAGAGCACTGAACCCGCCCAACTCTGTGATGTCGTTACAAAGTTGAGAAAGCTGTCACCACCCGAGGCTTTGGATCTTCTTGTCAAATATTTCAACAAGGTACAATAAATCTGTCTTCACTTACTTTGACCTGTTTACAGTTCTCACAAAAAAAGTGGAAATCTTATTCTGACATAGCTGACATATTCTTCTCTTTCTGTACTTTACAGATGTTTCTTTCTTTACACTCATCCATCCTTCATTTTCTTTCTTAATGTACATCAAATTGATGTGTTTCTCTGCACGGCTCACTCTCACCTTTATCCAACTGTCCAGGTGGTTTATCTGCGAGAGGTGGAGCACCGTTTGCGTTTGCACTGTGAAGAGCTGCAGATCCACGCTGGAGAGCAAGAGGTGGCGATGAGGGAGATGAAGGCAGCTATGCAGCGGCTTACTCTGGACGCAGACCGCAGGTTCACCCAGCAGCACCGAGATCACCAGAGCAACATCCAGCTTCTGCTGCAGAAGCTAAAAGGTGAGGAGATGAGGGCAGCCTTGTCAAAACAATTAAAAACATTTTGTTTTTTTTACCCTCTGGCTGCTCGGGTGTCCTCCTACAGTCCGAAGTCGTACTCGTTTGGTTTAATGGAGACTCTAAATTGCCTGCATGTGAGTGTGCCTGGTTGTTTTCTCTGTATGTTGGCCATATGATTAGAAATCAGTCTCACTCTTCTGGGCGGCAGTAGCTCAGTCTGTAGGGACCTGGGTTGGGAACCCAGCACCCAGTCCCGGCCCGACCAAGTCTGGAAATTGGCCTAGTAGCTGGAGAGGTGCCAGTCCACTTCCTGAGCTCTGCCCAGGTACCCTTGAGCAAGGCACCGACCCCAGAACTGCTCTGGAGTGCTCACTGTGGGCAGCCCCCTCACTCTGAGACCTCTCCATTAATGCATGTCCATAGGATCTTGTTTGTGCATGTGTGTGTATTTCGGCCATCGTCCTATAATTTATATAAGGGTAATTATTTATCTTTGTTTTTTGTTTCTCCGTGTGTTCAGAGGGAGGTCCAGGAGAGGCACAGCAGGCTTTCCAGGACCGACTGCAGCATCTGGAGAAAGAGCTTTTTTTCTACAAAAGCTCCAGCCGGCAGCTAAAAAAGAAACTCAGGGAGCTCCAAAGCGATGCGCTCCACTCAGCTGATCAGCCCGCACACTCACAGGAGAACAGACCAACAAGCGCAAACCAACTCCAGACACAAGAGGTACGGGCAAAGACACATGTAGTTACAACATATGCAAATATACACAGTGAAGAAACAGACAAACAGACACAATGGCAGACTCCTTACGCCTCCTCATCCTCCGACCTGCAAGTTTGCAAAAACACAAAAGTGCCTGAACACCAAAACCCCACAGAGTCCCAGGGGCAGAGGACAGAGGGTCCGGATGTTTAGAAATGGAACCTGTCCGTCTGTGTCGCAAAGAGCTGAGACAAATCTCCCCAGCTGACCAGAAGGTCTTCGGCTCTGCCACATGGAGGCGCCAGTCTGTTCTGGATGGTAGCTCAGATTCTATTCTAGAGGACTCCATTGAAGTGGCTCAAAACACTGATAGATGATGTTGCATCATTTTTTTATGAAGTGCCTTTAGTAGATCACTTTGCATCAGCAGTTTGAACAGCAGAGCACCGATTGGTTCTGTGTTTTTGGTCTCAGTTTTTCACTTACATTCACAGCTGTCCTTTGTTAAACATGTATGTATGGCTGTTAATGTGAAACTACAGAGGAGTGAAGCTGCAGCAAGGGAGAGAACTGCAGAGTTTAAGGGCTGAAGAGAGGAGAGGAAGAAAAGAGAATGTGATTCTTAGTTTTGCTCTTCAGAAGGAGAAGAAATACAGAAGAATGGCAATATTGTCATGAAAGAAATATGAATATATAAAGGGAGAAATGTTCATGTATGGATCTCTTTAATACTTATTCAACTTAAATCTCAAGCTCTTGTAATAGATACAAACAAAAACTAGCTTTAGAGTTTCATATATCTCTCTGACATAAATGTGCATAACTTAAAATCTAAAGTACGTAGTAAGACAACCGGTTATTTAAAGTAAACGTCAGCACTTCTTTGTTAATATAAAATACAGTAGATGGACTTAAAGTAACCACTCAGTCAGCTTCACTGAATTGATTCTTCTCCGTTTAAAAACACATTTCTTAACCTATTGTTTCATCTTTTCATATAATGCCATGAAGAAAATCACTTCGTCTTCCACAGTAAAATATGCAGCACTGTTTAGCACTAGATGACATGAAGATAAATTAATATAAATCTCAGCCGTGTTTTTTATGCATTTGATTTGTTTTGGTGTAAACTTTATATATGTGTGTGCATATTTTTTTTCCCTATTGATTTTAAGTTAACTGCTGTGTTAATTTATTTTCTACAAATGTGAATCTTATTTTATTAAACTATTAAACTCCTCTCGCTGTGTTGTCTTATTTGTGTGGGTTCGTTTCACTCTCCAGCTCTAGCACCTTGAGCTACGGTTTGAAGAGGATGTTGGACATCTTTCAAGGGATAAATTAGAAATGTGATAAATCTCATTTTAACACCAAGTTTGTTGTATGATTGATTAAACTCTCCTTTTTTAAAATCTTTAATGATGAGATTAAAAAAACGTTAGGGTAAGGTGTAGAGCCTTAAAATGAGTAAATGTGTCATTTTTGTTATTTAAACTACTCTGGTGAGTTTTTAGCTCGTTTAGTCTCAGTTTGTAAAAGAAACCTTCAACCACTACACTAGTTCCACAATTTAACTGACATTAGACTGTTGCCAAGCAACCCAAACATACTGCTGCTCTCTTGCTACTCTGCTGGTGTCCATGGTTACCACAGAGCAGCAGCTACCTTGTAGTCAGAACCTTTACATGTTTAAGAAATGTATTTTGAGACCGGTTAATATTATAGACAAACACGATCAGCTGTAAATGTCAATTAAGAGTATTCAGAACTCCTGGCTGATGTGGAGAGATGCAAAGTCCCAGTGACGTTGTCCTGTGTCCTCACCGTAGACTGTAAATATTAAGGCTATTAATGACTCTTGTCCAATCAGATATGGTGGTTGTAACTAACTGTTAAAAAGTCATTTTTAATGCCAGAAATGTCTGCCTGTGAGTATGTGGCGACACCACATACATTTTTTTTACATGTTTTACATTTTCCATGGTAAAGATTCTTAATGAGTGGTGTAATGACTTTTAAAGAAAGGAGAATAATGTTTTTTTTTTAATCCCTACCTCACAAAATCAGCAAACAAATAAGGCACAACGCTTTATCCATAGGGGGCGCCAAAATCAAAACAAATGAACCTTTCCTTATAGGAGCTTTAACTGAAAGAATAAATAACTTAAAAAATAAAAAATCTACCTCTGTCTGAAAGAACACCTCCTGTCTGTCATTACAGACCTAACACCATGACAACAGTCCATGCTAAGTGTAAGACATCTTGTCACCATGGCAACTGTGGCTTTGCAAACTGATAAATGTGACTAATAATATAATCAATTGCAGGAAATGTTCTGATTCCTACTTCAAATAACACATAATGTAATGTAGTGTTGATACTAAAAAGCTCGGATGACCAACAGAGAATAAAACAACTTATTTTGTGCTCTGTGTCTGAGAACAGCAGAAACGAGTCTTTGTGCTTTTTGGTCCTGACGAGCTGCCGTACTCAGTCTGTTAGCAAACCCACGGTTACCAACAGCACCTTTACGAACAGGTGAAACTACTCTCCAGCAACTTTTTCTTGTGAATACTCTCCACTTTAAATTGAAGCAGCGACCGTGTTGAAGACAAAAGACCCCCGTGAGTCCCCACGTGTTCTCCACTGTCACGTTTTGTTCTTGTTGCACTTGTTTAGAAGCTAACAAAACCGGCTAAATGTTAAGCTAGGTTAAGTTGCTGCCATGTAATGCTAGCTGAGCCTGTTGTAAGACTGTTAGACACTTTACAGCTCAAATCTGTTTTATATTCAAACAACATCATGATCATGCATCTGTTTCTGTACATTAAGCTGTCAGTGGAGACGTAGCTTTGATTTGATGTTATAAACTTGAAGTCTTTTGGTTTGGTTTTGTCTTCAACTTGTCCTAACTGCGTTTTTCTCTTTATTGTTTTTTCTCTTTCATCAGTTTTACTTTAGAAATGGCGTCTTCTGCGATGATCACTGTCCCCACCACCGCCTCCCGCTTCGCCCTGCTCCAGATAGACTCGGAGTCGGACTCGGACGGCTCTGACGCGGGCAAGACCGGCACCAAAGGGGGACGGGACTCCTCCGGGAAGACCCGAGCAGGGAAGGCAGCGGGGGGTAAAGGTGGTCAGTTAAACGACAAGAAGAAAGACAAGAAGAAGAAGAAGAAGGAGCAGCAGCAGAGTGAGGCCAATGAGGTGAGTGAGCAGGAGCACCTGAAGACCCCTCATCTTTACACACACACACACACACACACACACACACACACACACACACACACACAGCCATGACTTGTCTTTCTAAATACTCAACGACAGGAAACAACAAACACAACATAGAAGTGATGTCGAGGGAAGAGGATGAGAGTCAGTGGTTGTAGGCGGTGTGAAAAGGTGAGTTTTTAGGGATCACTTGTAGGAAGTGAGGGTGGGCGGAGTCTGTGATGTTTTTAGGGAGAGAGTTCCAGAAGGTGGGAGAAGACCCTGACCCCCCCCCAGGACCGATGGTTTGGGAGGTTTGCATCGACAGACCTGAGAGTGCTGGTGGAGAAGCAGGTAGAGGGGGAGACAGGTTGTGGAGGGCTTTGTAGGTGAGGATGATGGGGGGGGGGGGATGTGGTCTCTGGTGCGGAGTTCTGAATGTATTGAAGTTTCTTGAGTGTTTTGGATGGTGGACCGTAGAGGAGTCTAATTATTGTTCTCCTCTGTTGTTGTTTCACTTCAGCTGAACTGAAACTGTTGAGGCTGCTGTCAGGTGAAACAAAACTGATCGGTTCCTTGTTTTCTATTTATAGCAAACACTCCCACACTCATTAAGATAAGCTATGTTGTCAGGTGTGTTCTTTATTATGGACGTTCATGTAGTCGTTGTTAGGAAACGTCAAAAGATGTCGCTTTCTTGCCCTCAAACGCCCCAAAAACTCAGAAGAAAACATCATTAACCCAAGAAAGAAGGTCAACTATTGACTGACTTACCTACTTACCTGTGTGTTTAGATACTTACACTATATTGTTCATATTGCACTACATTACATTATATTATATAACTGCACTCTGCATTACTGTGGTACAACACTGCCTCTCTTCTCTGCTGTTTACATCACTTGCTGCTCTTTATCATACCAAGTCACTTTAATCATCACTTGTCACTTCATCTTGTCATTCTGTCTCAACTCCCTGCATAGTTAACTTCATTATTCACTTTGTACTCGTGTATATACCCCCTGTTTTTATTTATCTTATCTATTCTGTTTAATGTGTATTTTGTATTTTGAGCTTTCTTGTCTGTGCTGCTGCAACACCTGAATTTCCTCTGGGATCAATAAAGTATTATCCTATCCTATATAGATAGAGACACACACACTTAAAGGTGTGTAGGTCATAGTTACAGGTAAATAAACGGTTAAGTAGGGTGTTAACGAAATCTACCTGCAACTGTTGTGTTTATAGATAATTCAACATCAGTCATGTTTGTAACCTGAAATGTCAAACATTAGTCATGAAGCTTACCCAATTTAAACATCGGCTGCTTTTCTTCCTTCTATAACAAATCTTTTTAAGAGTTTTTCAGTCTGCTCTTATTTTATTTTATTTTTAAACCTTTCAGACAAATTACTTTGGTTAATATTTAATGAAGACATTAAAAGTTGACATTGTGACAGATCTCAGCCTTGATGTAACTAACGAGATGTTAATCATATTAATAAGAAACATTTTTGCTATAATGATGTTTTCTTTGATTTAATTAGAATGCTTAAGCTTAAACTGCTCTTGAACTAATAAGAAAAAGCTTGAAGGGCCTAACAGATCACATGAGGGAGGATTAGACCCTGAAAATATTTAGACTCAAAGACAATAATAGTGCAAGACAAAGTCAAAAAGTAGAAGCATTGATGGTGATAAACATTTTATCTGAATGTCTCTCCTTCTGTCAGTTGCGTAATTTGGCCTTCAAGAAGATTCCTCAGAAGTCGTGTGCCCCGCCTCCCTGTTTGTCTGCTGCCGGTGAACTGCTCGGTCCTGCAGGAGGGGACCACGCTCCGCCTGCAGAGGGGTGGCAGCAGTGGAAGCAGAGGGATGAGCAGGTAAGAAAGAACAACAACTGTACTGTAGGTAATGTGCTGTTCAGGAGGACACGGCTCTGGCAGCTGTGTTTACAAAGAGGAGAGCTGGCTGAGCGGGGTTTTATCCTCGTCTGATGAGACTGCATTTTACTGACAGTTCATGTCTGATCTCACCGACAACACCAACCATGTGTCTCCAGCTGGAGTTCTTCTTAATGTGCTTCGTCGTGTGTGTTCCTCCTTCCTCTGTAGATAACCTCTGAGCTGTACGAGGCAGACCTGGAGAAGGCCTTGATTCTAAGCAAACTGGAATTCGAACAACAGAAACAGGTAAAGGCAACTACATTTAAATTTGATTACAATTTAAACTCGGAGTAGTCAACTCTTCTAAACTTAAGAAAACACTCAAAATCAAGCATCATTTATTTAACACGGCTGAAAAATGAGATCTCAGCGTCAATAACTGGTTTGCTGAGTGTGGCTAATGTTAGCTGTGCTAGCGCCACCAGCCGTCGGTCGTCTGTGCAGGTGAACGTCCACATCCCTGTCGCTGAATGTGTTTACGCATTACACAGTTAAAGTTCAACGTGACACAGTATACAAAACAACTTGATCGGAATTTTCACTCTCAAATGATCTCAAATGACTGCCAAACCCAGCTGCTCCAATAAGAGGCCAGGAGTCCACATGTTGACATCCAGGCAGCAGACTGAGGAGAGAAGACCCAGCTCCAGCTTGTTGCATTATAAGATGAAGATTTAAGAAGTTTATCATGAGCAGGACGGTCAAACACAGCTAGTTTATTCCCTGTCCACTCCAGTCCTTTTAGAAAGGCTGATTAATCTATTCTTAAATCTTTAAAAACATGGAGGCATGATGCTAAAGAAACATTTCAGCTTCTTTGTTTCCAGGATCTTTGGTTTCAAAGAGAAATGAGCCGCTCTAAGACAAACCTTTCACTCTCAGATGAAAATACATTTCTCTTCTGTTCAGCCTCGTACAGCTCGATTTGTAAATGAACGCCTTGCTTCCTTTTTTTTTTTGGGTCAGCTTTCTTGTTCGTAAGTTTTATGACGCAAGGACGATTGTGTTAAAATGCTGACCTTGCTGTTTATGAGTTGATCTGATGACCCATAAAGCCATAGTTACTATTTAACATCCCAAGGGTAATATCGACTTTAATCTCCCACTGCTCACCCTGTATTGATGCGTCATCGTCTCCTTAAAGCGCTGAGTCATCCTTTTTTTACCACGTAGTCACTGCTTCATTTAAATCAAACATGCTAGAGTAGAAGCATCACTGAACATCCGATTATGTGCTTTCACTCAGCACCCCACAAACGCATCCTCACCGAAGTCCAGAGGAGGAAAAGAAGGCGGAGGGAAGAAGGACAAAAAAAAGAACCAGCAGGCGAAAGACAAAAAGACGGTTTCCCTGCAGGACTTCCAGGCGGAGGGCAGCGCAGGTGAGAACTACTTATTATTTAGTTTCATTAAACTATGATCTGGTGTGCCGCAGTGTTAATCTTTCTGTCAATGTTTTTGTCTCTTTGCAGAACATTTAGGTAGGAAACAAGAGAAAGACGTAAGCATCTTTTGTTCATATAAAGCAAACACTCATCAATGACCTGTGAATAAATATGCTCATGTTTTTATTTAGGATGTCATCTGTAATGTAGCATATTCATGTTTAAACATCGACCGTCTTCTTCTTCAGGACGCCAGAGCGGCTAACTTAGTGCTGGAGGCGGGCAGGAGGAGCGTTTTTTCAACAAGCTGGAGGATGACGTCAGTCGGATCGTCCTGCAGGAGAAGAGACGCGAGCAGTACACCAACAGCCAGGGACAGGAAGTCAACACGTCCACAGAACACGAGCCGGTACAGAAACACACACACACAGTTCTCTAAATACTCAGTCAGGTGTCGACTTTAACACACCTGGCAGACAGTCTTCTATTATGAATCTTAAAATCTCTGTTTCTATCATGCTGAATCTTTTATATACGTCTCTTAAGTAACATTTTCAACCTCACTGAGACAGACGGCAGCTTGTTGGAGATGTAGGTGAAGGAGAACGTTTGGTCTTTGATGTGATGTCTTCCTAACTTCCTCATTTTTATTTTTTATTTTTTATTTTTATTTATCTTATCTATTCTGTTTAATGTGTATTCTGGGGATCAATAAAGTATTATCCTATCCTAACAATGTCTGAGTTCGTCCTCACTGAGCTCTTTTGTCTCTTGTCGATTTTGTTAGGATCCCCGAGCGGAGCAGCTGAAGTACGACCTGGAGAAAAAAGACCAGGAAATCGATAAGCTAAAGAAGACCATCTCACAGTGGGAGGTGAGTCGTTGGAAGCACCTTGTCCTTCTTTCATTTTACTGGAAATGTCTAATTTGGTATCTCCTGGGTTAAGGTGTGATAGCAGAGACAATTCTAAAAGACCGCTGACTACTTTAAAGGAAATATGTGATTTTTTGATCCAGCAGGTGTCGCCCTTGAGCACCAGCATGAAACCAAAACGACTTGCATTGCATTGTTGTGTTAGCATGCTAATGCTAGCGATCTTTATTATGCTCGTTCACACTGCATGTAAATTTAAACAAAGTGAGTACAGGATGTTATAGGGGAGGAGCCGGCCGGCCATCCCGTCCATAGATACGGCTCGGACTACATCACAGACAGCAGGACTCTGGAGTCATGTAGACAGTCATGACTCAGAGTTATTTTCAGAGGATATATTTGATTTCTATTACATTTAGGAGTGAAAAATCAAATATTCTCCCTTTAACTCCTCCCTGCACAAACCTGTTTTTAACAAGAAAGCTCTCATCAAAAGTAACCTCTGATTTGTGTTCTTCCCTTAGCCCAGATTTAGAAAAGGCAGCTTGGGAAAGAGTGCCTTAGAGGGTGCCTTGTTAGCGTGCACTTGGTTCTCTGTTTTGTGTTTTGCTTTCTCAAAGTGTTGACAACACAGTCGGCTAAGAGTTGTGTCGACACTGAAGATATAAACAATCTGCTGGGGAAGAAAAGAAGATCGACACAATGAATTACAGTTATCGTAATATGAGCATTCTTAACTTACACATCTCACATGTCAGCATTCAAAGAATAAATAAGCTAATGTTCAGTGTGAAACATAAATGCCTTCTCACAGTTTTGATTGAGTCGGATGAAGCTCAAGCTTGCGATCTGCTGCTCACAGTTATCACACATGGCTTATTTTTCTCATACCATGCAGGCCTACTCAAAAGGAAAGTTATGTATCAGCATATGCGGGGTATCCCACTCGGGCCCCGTGTCCACCTAGTGCTTTATCGGAGCTCCAGCGTCTTTTGTTTTAGTTGTTTTCAATGAGGAGAGAGCGTTCGCAGCAGACGGCAGCCGCCTGGAGAATAAGCGCAGCGCCCGGTGTCTTTTTCTGAGTTCTCCACCTTTTATGTGCGACCGCTCCGAGCGCTCAAGTTGACAACCTTTCACCATTTCAGAAAGGCGCTGCTGACGTCACGACGCTCTTTTCCAAATATACTTTAGACGCTTACAGATCGTGTCTTGTGCCCACATCCTCCTCGCTCCGTGTCTTATCAGGGAATAAACGATCTTAAATAAATAAAAGCATGCAGTAAAAAGTAACAGAGCAGTGTCGCTCATACAGCGGGCGTTGTCAACACACTGTTGTCAAGGAGACTGTTGTCAAGGAGACTGGACGGACGTGCAGCGCTTTTTCTTCTCAGCGCACAAACGCTTCAATCACGCGCTTCCGAGTGCAGAGCCAGCGCTCTTCTGCCCGGGGCCTTAACTGTACCTGTCCCACAATCCTCTTCCCCTCCATAAATGATTTTTCTTCTTTGTATCCCCGCAGCTAAAATACAAAGAGGTGAAGGCGAGAAATTCTCAACTGCTGAAGATGCTCCAACAGGGAGAAAGTGAGTCGAACTTTATCAGGATTTCACTCGATCGCTCTCCGCCCTCTGACTTCTTATCCGCCCTTCTCTTGCCTCATTTACCTCGTCTGATGATTTCTGACTGTGTCTCTTTCCTCTCCTTCAGTGAAAGACAAAGCAGAAATCCTCCTACAGGTAGAAGAGCTGCTACATATAAAAGAAGAACTATCATCACAGGTGTGTATGACTGAGACAAAGGAAAGTGAAGGTCGACACGTTAGTACACGTGTTTGCATTTTAATGTTGTTGTTTTTTTATTCTTAGGTATCATTACTACACGGGGCCCTTGAGCAAGAAAGGTCTAAAGTCAAAGGTCTGCAGTCAGAACAACCGAAACATCAGGTGAGCTCACTAACACTGACACATGCTCGCTCGTTAACCTCTGCTTCACTGTAACGATGAAAACCTCAGACTGTTTTAGAGAGAGGAGATGTGTAACTATGTTTAGGGGGATTGTGTGTGTTTGTGTGTGTGTTCATCTGCATACATGGTCCCTGTATTCCTGTCTATACCACAGAAAAAAGGAGCAAGCAGAGGGAAGTTGCAGTAAAAGTAAGCTGCAGCACAAAGAAAAGTCACAATAGATTAGTTTTTGTTCTTTTAAGCAATCTGAGATCAGGGAAGAATTAGGATAAGTTTTGGTTCAGAAAAATTCAACCATTAATTCTTTTCTAATTTTTAATAGCGATTTTTTTTTTTATCCAACTCTAACTTCACTTAGCTCAGTAGATGTTGTTGTTTTTGTCAATAACTGTGAACTTTCTGGCTTCTCTTTGTCACAGGGTAACAAGAAAGGGAAGAAAGGCTCCGAAGCGGATCTATGAATGTTTCAGAAGTTAAGGCAAAAAAGAATGAACGAACAAATGAAGAAAAACAATAATGATCACAAGCAGGGTCCTCTTTCTTTTATGTTTTTTTTTTAGCTTGGACTTGATGTCAGCATAAAATGCATGCCCCTGTAATTACTCATATACACAACTTACACTCCAAGCAGGAAAACAAAAGGTGTAAAACAAACTCAAGTGATTAAGAAGACCAGACGTTCTGAAGAGAAGTTTCTAAACTGTGTTAAAAGTCTTTACTTACAATGCTGCCCCCTGCAGGCACAGGTGTGTCACTGCATCTGTGGTGCAGCAGGAGGGCTGTGTGCCTGATCTTTGGCTTCACCTCCAAACTGACAGAAGTGAAATGTATGTTTTTGTTCTGTTTTTTTTTCTTTCAAACTGTCAAGTAAATAAAATACTTTTTCAGTGAAAGGTGATTCCCACTTTGGTGTTTATTTTGATGTTAAAGAGTTATGGGCGCTTGTAGATTTTCTGGTTATTGTTTCTGAGTTTGAGAGACACTTGTTTCCTCCCACTGATCGTTTTAAGTTTCACAGATCAGGAATGGCTCTCAGAGGTTGGTGCAGAATAATTTAGTCTTATAAATTATGTTGCATTTTGGTACAGAAGCCCAAAGCTGATGCATCCACCCTGCATTTTATCTACTTAATTCACCTGTGATGATGAAGGATTTCAGTTGTTAATTAAGGACCGCCTTGAAAATGAGATGATGCATCTCAAGGGGCTATCCTTGAAATAAATTACAAATTACAAATTTGTATTCTCCAGACCTAAACTCATTTTTGTCATTATCTTGGGATAATAAAGCTGGTTTTCCCAGTAAACCAGATTCATGAGTCATCACAGATATGAAAGCTGGTCATCATTTTCTGGTCATCGAGAACAGGAGTGTCCAGACCTCGAAGACGTCCTATCCGGACCCAGACCTGTAACTGAGAAATTAGTGAGAATATTGAAATTTTATCCAGCACAGTTTTTATCGTCTTCATGGTACTGGCTGACACTCCCAAACCAATTGCATGTGTTGTAATGATACTCAGCCAATCAAATGAGTGCATTAAAATCAGGTAGAATACAGAAGGCGACACAGAGGAGGAGAGGAAAACCAAGACGAGAGACACATTTTCTCTAACTGGACCTCTTTGAATTTTAATGAAATACCCCTGATCGAGAAGAACAAAACTGTGAATGACATGCTGTTGCTTCCCACACTATGAGGTAAGTTACTGCTAGGAGCCCCAGGCCAGTAGGGGGCCCCAAGCAGCATTTGAATGCTGGTTGGAAGGGCCCCCAATTGATTTTTTGCCCAGGTCTGACAGATTCAAGAATCGTCACTGCGTGGATACAAGATGGGGAAAAAAAAAATCCAGATCTCAAGAATAACCAGAGATGAATCATAATCAGAGAAAAACTGAGAAAATAAAAAGTATGAATGCATGTCCACTTTGGGCTTCCTTACCTTGGGACCCATCGTGCAGCTATCTTGGAGAAATGTAGATAATAATGCTTGACCAAGTCTGTAAAAACAATTAAAGTGGACTCAAAAGGAGTCAAAATTAAATCAGAACAGATTTCTTAGTTTTAAGTTGTGACCTAATTTCAGATTTTGTTGTGCACTATTGAGTTAGGATTGTGTGATCAAATAGTTCAATCATGACTAGATGCTGTTTCATCCGCGTTTAAAACTTTACATTAAATAAAAGGAAGAATTACTTTAGTAGTTCCTGTGTTGAGCAGCCTGCGTCCTCGGGTCACCGCACCACTTCTTGTCGAGTCATAACACCGGGACTGTGTCCTCCTCTTCCTCCTTCCTCTTCCTCCTCCTCTCCGGCTCCTCTCCATTCACATCCCGGGCAGGACTGAGGGATGTCGGGCACAGCACAGGACGAACCTGGAGCCCCGACTGAAGCTCAGGGGTCTCAAATGATCCACGTTTCTGTGAAGAGTCTGACGAAGAGCAGAGAGTTCTCCGTCAGAGGAAACTGCACCGTCACACAGGTCAGCAGATTATTGGTCCTACTGAGCTGGAGCTGTGGGAGTATGAGGTAACCTTTTGGGGTAACGCAGTTGAATGTAATGTGTGTGTGTGTGTGTGTGTGTGTGTGTGTGTGTGTGTGTATACAGCTGAAATGTGGACTAGCAGAGCGCCTGGAGGTCCCGGCACAGCGGCTGGTGCTGATTCACTCCGGACGTGTCCTCAGAGAGTCAGAAATCCTGAGTCACCTGAAAGCAGCAGACGGCTCAGTCAGCCTCTGCATGGTGCAAAGGTACACAGAAACAACCCAGTCACAATAATAATAATAATAATAATAAAAGATCTAATTTAAAGTGTAATTGTATGGCAAAGATCACACCCTGAAAAAACAATCCATCATCTCACTCTACAAAATCTAACTTTTAGGGCAGATGTTTTCCTTTTAACTTAGTTTGCCTATACATTCTGTAGCCTTTTCATATTGTATTGAAATTGTTTTTATTTATTTTTATTGTTTTTTTTTTTTAAGGTAACTTGCCTTGTAGGGCTTCAGGTAAAAGGGTCCAATAAAAAGCTGAACTACTATTTTGGTTTAGGTCCTGTGTGTTGATTTTGTCGCCCCCTTGTGGACAAACAGGGAGCTCTCACCTCTTGGCTGATCTTGCATGTTTAAGTAGGTTTTCAAAAGCAAAGATCTCTTCCTGCTTTCTTTTAACCACCGAACTGATCACTCGTCTAGAATCCATTATCTGCCTCACTGTTCTGCGTGCTCTTGTGTAGGATCTATATTTTTACTATGTTTACTGAATAATCTACAAGCTGTGTATAAGAAGCCGACGAAGCAGAAGGAGCAATTTGGGGTTAAGTGACACATCGGACATGTTGTTGCAGGAGCTGGAGATCAAACCCTCGGCCTTTTGGTTGAGAGATGACGACAGAGCCACAGCCGCCTCAGTCTCTTTATAAAAACATGCTATCACAATCCGTCGCTCTGCTTGAGTTTAATCTTCAGTCTGTTCCATGAATCCATGAATCCATCCCACAGTTTCTCCCACAGTACTTCAGATTCTGACTAAGTCTGTCCTCCTCAGGCCTCCTGCTGCTCCCAGGACTGATCCAGCTTCAGAAGCGGTTCAGTCAGACCTCACAGATGACCCTGATCCTGACCCTGATAACTTCACACCTTCTCCAAAGTCTCCCCTCTGCCTGGGTAAGAACTCCTGAACATGAACATCCCTCCTACACACAGTTATTTTCTGCCTTTTCACACTTCTTAAATCTCAAATCAAATCTTAGCAGGTTTATTTGTTAAATTTCTAGTCAAAAATATCTCATCACACTTAAAGTCAGCCACATTCATCTGTCAAGTCTACATAGTCATGTTGTTTCAAGGTATTGCAGGTGAAACACAAGGCCTGAATTGCTTTTTATTTAATTTTTTGGGCCTTTTTGATTTTATTAGCCCGAGCAGCTGAAGAGAGACAGGAAATATGAGCAGGAGAGAAATGAGGACGACATGCAGCAGAGAGCCATGGTGGGACTCGAGCCTACGGCAAACCACCATGAGGACTTTGACCTCCGTACACGGACATGTGACATAACCGCTAGGCCATCTGGTGCCCCCTGAGTGGCCGGCAAAGTTTACTTAAGTTTCTTGAATGAATATAAAGATCTCATTTTAAGAAACCTAACAAATGTGAGGGACAGGTGTGACAGAGCGACTCAGGAAGATTTCAGGCGCAGGCCATCGTGAGATTTCTAGAAATTTCCAGGAGGGCATGTGGGCAAAAAAAGTTCTACAAATAGATTTTCCATTTTTGTGCAGGCGTGAAGTTTAATGATGCTCTTTCATTCCAAAGCCACCATGTTTAAACGACTGAACTCTAACGTAATGTGTGCATTTCTCTCATCTTGTACCTGTGCCCTCTCTTCTTCTTCTTCTTCTTCTTCTTCTTCTTCTTCTTCTTCTCCTCCTCTCAGGCATGCAGTCACTGATGGAGGAGATCACAGCCAGTCCAGGTCTGATGGAGAGCCTGCTGTCCGGGCCGTACATCAGCAGCCTCCTGAACTGCCTCAGCCAAAACCCGGAGCTGGCTGCACAGGTGACCCAACAAACACGTGCACTCGTGCACATCAGGGAACTCATAACAGGCAATCAGATCACCTAATTTCACTCGGCAACTGCAGAACATTTACTTCCTCCCATCAATCACACTCACATTTACTGTAGGTCTGTGGGGATCTCACTGGCTGCAAACTAGAGGTCGAGAACTAGGCTACCATCCAACGCCCCCATGCTTCTTGTTAACATATCCACTTAACTCTTCATGTTCTTCCTGTTTCAGATGCTGCTGAGCCATCCTTTGTTCTCAGGGAATCCTCTGCTGCAGCAGCAGATCAGACAGCAGATCCCGCTCTACCTGCAACAGGTGACTCCACACTCTCATATCATGAAACAGGTGACTCCACACTCTCATATCATGAAACAGGTGACTCCACACTCTCACATCATGAAACAGGTGACTCCACACTCTCACATCATGAAACAGGTGACTCCACACTCTCATATCATGCAACAATGAAATATATAGCTTCAGGATTTTCTCAACATTGGACCCATTACGTCCATTATTTCGTTGAGCATCATCATTTTTCCCACCATGAGAATATCCTTGTTGATCCAAGTCATGTTACAAAAAACAAACTCCATGGATCTCCATTAAAACTCGAGCGCTTTTGTTTTTATTATCGTCATGATGAAGGGTTCGACAACACGCAGACCTGGCAATGTATCGTCTGCTTGGCAAACACATTTCCCTGCCAATAAGACTCACCATGTCACTTCCTCATGTCTCCTCACGCTGGCTTATTAAACGAATGAGGGCAACACTATGGGAGTTAATTGGCCAAAGAAGAAGAAGTAATCAGTAAAATGTCCAACAGTGTTGAAGAGATGTTGAATGATAAAGCGTGATAAAGAGGTGAAAGTGACACCAACTTACTGTGAATTCAAATGTAAATTTTGCACCTTTTTAGGGACATTTAGAATCATGGAGTTATTTAGATATATCATCCTTTGATTGACTTGCATAATGCTAAATCGTGATATTACTGTTATCGCACCACATCGTGCTGTACTGCATCATATTGTATGGTATGGTATCTTCAGTTACCCTGCTGCTTTCCCCCTATTCATGAGTGATGTTAATCACAATGCAGATGCAGAGTCCAGAGCTGCTGTCAGCCATGTTGAATCCCAGAGCCATGGAGGCTCTGCTTCAGATCCAGCAGGCTCTTCAGACTCTGGCTGCAGAGGCTCCTGCCCTGATACCCATGTGAGTATAGGTACACAACAGAAACACACACACAGTGCACGTCCTAAAACACACCTCTAAGTGTCTGGTTTGAAGGAGTACTGAGAGTTAAAGATTCTGTTAAACTTCTCATTATTCATCAGCACATGTCCGTCCTGCAGGTCTGGACCGGGAGACACCGGAGCGTGCTTTGTCGATGCTGCTCCAGCATCCGACTGTGTCCGTAACGACCAATCAGGAAGTGGCCCTGGGGTTGCCACGGTGACAGAGCAGCAGCAGCAGTTCGTGCAGCAGATGCTACAGGCACTCGCTAACTCAAATGGGGTATCTCATTGGTTCCTTTTGACCTTGTTGTCCGTGTTTGATTCAAACTGCAAACTGCAAAGCAAACATCAATAAACACACAACTGAGCGTTTATATACACACACACACACACACACACACACACACACACACACATATATACAAAGAGTAACTATTTATATACTTTGTTGAATAGGTAGGTTTTGAGTTTAGCTTTAAAAGTAGAGACAGTTGTGATGGATCAGCTCAGCAGGTAGTTTGTTCCAGAGAGAAGGACCACAGTCACTAAAGGTCCCCTCTCTGGACATTGATATAATTCTTGGTTCGCCTATAAGACCTTCACTTGAGGGGCCGGGTCGGGTTGTAGTCTGTGAGAAGGTCAGAAATCTACTCAGGAGCTGAACCATTGACAGCTTTATGGACTAATAACGTTTCTGTCATTTCTTGTCAATCTTAAAAATGATTTAGTTCATGCTCTCTCTGCTCATTGTTAAGGAAATAAGATATGACACACAAACATAGACTGTAAATATTACACACACACATATTCTTTACAAAATACTGATGTTCTTTTTCTTTTTGAATATTTTTGTCGTTACTCATTCCTCTGTTGTTGTTTCTTTTCAGGTCCTTGCTGAGGAGATCCAGGAGGAGATGAGCGGCTGAGTCCTGAGCTTCAGAGACCGACACACACACACACACACACACACACACACACACACACACACACACACACACACACACACACACACACACACACACACACACACACACACACACACACACACACACACACACACACACACACACACACTCACACTCACACACAAACACTCTCAAACATGATAATCGTAGTAAACACTTTGTCATTATCGATGATTATGTCGTTTCTGAGAAAAAACACAAAGATAAAGATCGGTGTGCTGCATGATAAGAGGAAAATAAACGTTCTTTACCAGATTGGAGATCAACACACGATTGTAGAATAAATATCGGCAAGTAGACGAGGATCATCAACAACAAAACAATGGAGCTTCTCCTAGATACTCTTTGTAACCGTTTAAAATGTAGTCCTGTAGTTTTTTTTTACTTTATTTATTTATTTTCCTCCTCTGTTTTGTTTTATATGTGATTGTAGTACTGACTGATTACTTCTGATTCCTACCCAGATTGGATTTTGTGAAGTATCTGTCGTGGTAGATACACCTTAAGATAAGATCTTCTTCACTCTGTCCTGCAGTTTTCTTCATCTTGTTCTCAGTCGTTTCTTTTTTTTAGTTGAGGGTAGTTTTGTTTAAAACAAGAGAAAAAAACAATGTAAAAGAAACGTACTAAGTCTGATGATTGCATGTTTTACCGTCTTACTAAAAATATAAGACACAAGCCATGTTTAGATCGCTGTACGAACAAAGTTTAACTTTAATTGCTTTTTAAACTTATTATGTCTGTCACCTCCTTCTTCACATCAGGCCACATGTGTACCTGCTGGTGTTCACTTGTTCTTCATGCAGTGAGACAGATCTGTGCAGGAACTTAACCCCCCCCCCTCACACACTCTGCACTTGTAGCTTTAGTGCATAAATGTCCAGAGGTCATATATTAATCATCTCCATGCAGCACTCAGGCCTCTTCTCATCTTACCACCTGGATAACAACGAGAGTCTCAAACACCAACTCTGGTCTCAGATTGAAAATGGAAGAGAAGAATCTTTTTGTTCTGCTCGTTCCCTCGCTGCTTGAATGAATGTTTTGTCCACCACAGACTGTAAAGATAATTTAAAAAAAAAACACCCCAGATAATGAATAAGTTTGTCTACAAAATAGACCGGCTCCTAACGATGCATTTAAAAGAAGAGAGAGGATGAATGTTTAACTCAAAGCCACACGTGCACAGAAACTCAGATCTTCTCAACTCTCTCCCCCAGGAGAGCGTTTCTCTCAGGCATGAATGAACACAGAATACAGATGTAAAACAATGACGATGAAGATGAACTTTTCACAGTTGAAGATGTTCCAATAAACCTTCGATGCCTACCTCTTACTTTGATTTATTGTTGTTGTTGTTGTTGTTGTTGTTGTGGTGCTTGTATTCAGTAGAGCTCCAGTAGATACTCCACCACACTGATTTTGGGCAGTAGTAGGCGGTGGGTTATCTTTGTGTGCATCACCGACTGAGAAACACTTTTACTCATCGAGCTGACTTTTAGATTTGATGTAATCTGCTGAAACAGCACATTTTATAATTCATGTTCTGACCTCACTTCTATATGCATGCACTGTTGTATGAATGTATGATGATGATGTCCTGCTTTGGAAAGCTGCTTTTGTTCCCTTCATGCTTCGGTGATGTAACGGTCGTATTTCTGCCATCACCTTGAATTAGTTCTTTTTTTTAAAGGTTTATTTTTGGGCTTTCTATGCCTCAATTTCAAGACAGGACAGTAGACAGAGGCAGAAAACAGGGAGAGAGAGAGAGTAGGGAATGACATGTGGGCAAGGTGCCACAGGGCGGATTCAAGCCTGAGCCGCCCGGTTGGAGGATTACAGCCTCTGTACATGGGGCGCACGCACTAACCACTGCGCCACCAGCGCCCCAATGTTGATTTTTTTTTTAAGCATTTTTAAATCATAATTCTAGCGTGTTGTGATTACTAGTTTCTAAAATTTTGTGTATTAAAACAATTTCTCTGCAACCTGTTTCATTTTTGTGTCATTGAATAACTTAGCAAATATTTCTATAGTTTGGTCACTTCCTCAGAGAGCCACTGGGGGGCAGCAGAGCCGCATTAACAATGAACACATGGAAGGAGAAGTGAAACTAAACTACTTCACTCTCTGATCTAATATTAGAATAGAAACGTCCTGACGGCTGCTGAGAGCTAGAGGACATTTCAGCCCTGCTATATTGTTTCAATCATTATCATTATCATTATTATTACATATTTGTTTGAATTTTAATGTTTCTACTCTACAATACAACTCCGAGTGTGTTTAAACCTGTAATATCTGTAAAACCTTAAAGGTCACATTTGCAAATAGTTTTTTTAACTTTAATAACTCCATACACCACATGGAGCCACAGAAGCAGTGTCAGGGTAAAATAGAGCAGGACACATCTGACCACAGCCCTGAGGTTCAAACTTAATTAGAGCCTCGCTGTAGAACGATGCTGCAGCAGCGCCCTGAGCACAACTGCACCTGAATCAATACTTCCTGCATCCTTCATGACAGACTGTATCATGGGCACTAAATTAGCGCAGAGAGTGCGGTGTGATCAATAGTCATAGACAGAAGAGCCCAGGGGGCAGTACATTAATGATTATACATAACAGAAGGTAAGTGTTTGTGGGGCTTTAAGGGCAGAGAGGAGGGTGAGGGGTCACCGTCTAACTCCTGTTGTGTTGTGAAGAAGTTAATCCGCTCCAGACAAAGAGGTGAACCTGAGCTGAGAGTCATGGACGACCTGTGTCAGATCTTGTCTGACCTTTCCTGAGGCAATTTGTGCAGCAGACCAGGAAATCCACTACAGTATCTGATCATCACTGCTCGACAGACACACACCATGCTGAGTGTGTGATGGCAACTGTGTTTGGAAAAAGAGATGAAAAAAAACTCAGAGTGTCTGTAAAGAAGTCCGTCACTCTCTCACAAGCTTTCTCTCACTCCCTCTTGTTGTTTTGTAATTCCTGATCTCTGTTTGACATTCTATAACTAACTGCTGGTCACATTGAAAGCTCAAAAAGTTGGTCAATACTATTCATTGACAGAGGATAGCCATTAAGTAATCACACTGCATGCCATGGCTCAAACATTTGCTCTCGCTTGTGTCTTCTTCGATTTGCTTTTAGCTGCAGAGTCTCCTGGCTGAACTGGCTCATACAGTATGTGTTGCAGCAGTTTGTTAAAGCCAGTCAGTGAAATTTGCATAGGGAAATGTTGAACAAAGGTCCAAATGTTAGTATTTTAATTTAACATGATAAGGATGCAAACTACTGATGACCTGAATCCGACTGGTATTTAAATGTCTTCAACCTCTAACATCAGCTCATTCAAAGGTTCAACATGGCAATGTGTATATTTTGAATGCACACAGTATTTGTCCGGCATGTTTGAATACACATGTTTACTTGTTTATGTCTTCAATTTTCAACCCATTAAAATGCTAATGAGTGCATCTTGCAAACTATTCATATGCAGATAAGAGCTCCTGAGGCTCGGATGGTACAGTGTGCCCCGGCTGCACCACTCGTCGTTGTTTAACGAGGATTTCTTTCAGTCTGTTTGGTATGTGCATATATAACAAGTGTGTCCATAAATAGAGCTCACCTCCTGCTGGTAATGAGGCTGCAGCTCGGGGCATCGCTTGGCCTTTCTCATGAAAATGAACTGCTGTCCCATCCCCTTATGCAAAGTCACTTTGTCTTTCAAGGAACAGTGATGACGGTGCATTCACTGCTTTCTCACAATACAAGGCTCTCCACTGAGTCTGAGACTACAGTTAACCTGGGTAAGAAAGACTTACATAATATAAGACAATATTCCTTTTTAAGGATTTGTAATGTTCTTTGATTATAAAAATTAAGAAATGTTAGAATGTGTTCAAATGACCGTAATTGTCCTCAGAGCTGAATATGTTCTGGTTTTAAGTCATGGTGTGTCTGTGCAGAGCAAACTGAACATGTCTGGACTCCAGAGCGCTGAAAACTTCCCGTCTAATAGCTTCTCTGCAGTGAGGGAGTCTGGCTTTGTGCGTCCTGAAGGATGGTTTAAACGGCAGCAAGGGCTGCTGCTCATTCAATAGAACTTCCCATAAAGAACATGATTGGATTTTGGATGAGGCTGAAAACAGGTTTTGTATTTGCAGGCAGTGAAATAAATCATGTTTTCTAATGTCTGCTGTGTTCTGTACCACCGCAATTAAAGCCTTCGTCATTTTTTTTCCCCCTCTGTTTCCACCACGCTAACCAAAGGAGGCTGCACCGACAATATGTCTCATCTGCTTTCATAAATCTGCAGGGGATTGAATTTGGCCCAGAAGTTTATTCAACCTCAGCGTGCCTTTCTATATTTGCATCTTTCGATTTGAGGAGGTTTGGCTTGTGTATTTATTGAATTGAAATGAATTTTCTTCAAACACATTCCAGCTTCAAGCTGTCTTATCATTTGTATCCCACATTTCCTTTAAAGAAAGACCTTTTGTTTATTTATTTTTCCTAAAAGTTACTCTACAAATTCACACCTAATCTATTTCATTTTCACATTTGTTTTTCTGTCTTTTATACATAGCCTTTCTTTTCTGGAATTCTAAAATATTTATGAAGAATTATAAACATTTCCCTATAACTTGGTTTATCTTTTGTTTTATGAAGTATAGATTATTCGTTAGACTTAGAAAGAACGTCAAATCTCACATGAAGGACACTTCGGTCTTCTGCTACTCCTAATCTCCAATTTTGCAATCAATTGCATATCCAGATAAACTGCACAGCTTGTTTATGTCTTTATGAGACAGGCCTGCTTTATAAATATATACAACTAAAGCTATGGTCACATAGAAATAACATCACAAACCATTAAGCTGTGTGACGGCAGTCGGTGACAATCCCTGATTTCTGACTCTATCCACTGTCTCGAATAATGGTACAAAAAAATTAAAAAAAACACTCAAACCCTTATTTTAATTTCAAAGTACTTGGCTCGTGTTTTATGTAGCAGGTTGCTGTCAGGCTCAGTGTGACCGTGTGAATACAAAAGTAT